CCAGCACACATTCAACACTAAGATTCGACATTGCACACAGATAAAAGCTCAAAAAGTTAGCATTCGGTAGTATGATCTTGATTAATACTATTACTACTCTTTTGCAAACTTTGATCCTCAGTTTTTGAGCTATTTGATACCTTTTTCCTTTTTATCTACTGACATTATTGTATTTTTAATAAATTTCCAAACTTGACCAATTAATAAACACCCTTCACACCCTTATTTTTCAAACTTTATTGTAACCACTTCAACATACTCATTAACTTTACTTTTTATTGTTTTCATAGAATCGCACACAATACAATTCAATGCTTTCCATTGCTTGTTTGACATCAAATCATCATCATCAACGAGCTACAATTGAATCAAAATTGAATCCAAACTCAAATGACCTTGTCCTTCTTCAGCTGCGCCATCAGCCAGTCGAGGCACTCGTAGACATTGCGCTCCGTCATCAGATTGACCATCTGAAAGTGCCAGTTTCGGGTGGCGGGAATGCGGTGCAGCTTCATCATCTCCATGAAGGTCAGCTCATCGAGGCTGTTGGGCAAGTCCTAGCAAAAAAAGTTTTTGATTTATCTTTTGAGTTTTCATTACCATCATTTTTACCACTCCTTACCATCTTTGTCCCGACAATAAAGATGGGCAACTTGGAGTACTCCTCCTCAGAGCTGGCAATCATTCGATGCAGCTCCACCTGAGCCTCGCGAATGCGAACGTGATCGCTGGCGTCTACCACGAAGATGATCGCCTGTTTCAGCGAGAAGTACTGCCTCCAGGTGGGCCGACTCGCCGGTCGACCACTCAACTCGAGAATGGTGAAGCTGACCTCGCGGTAGAAGATCGTCTCCATGTGGAAGCCTAGATCGTAGTAAAGATTGTCTGATTGTTAAAGTGAATGAATTTGAAGTTTTTGCCATCTTTTTAGCTTCACTCACCAACAGTAGGTCGAAGTGGTCGAGTGGCCGTCTGCNCCTCCAGGTGGGCCGACTCGCCGGTCGACCACTCAACTCGAGAATGGTGAAGCTGACCTCGCGGTAGAAGATCGTCTCCATGTGGAAGCCTAGATCGTAGTAAAGATTGTCTGATTGTTAAAGTGAATGAATTTGAAGTTTTTGCCATCTTTTTAGCTTCACTCACCAACAGTAGGTCGAAGTGGTCGAGTGGCCGTCTGCCCGGTTCTCCACTTGTGAATCAGCGAGCTCTTGCCCGCCCCGTCCAGGCCGATCATGACGATGGACACCGAGGGGACGAGGTGAGCCGAGAGACACTTTGAACAGCTGTTGCCCATGACTTAGACTTTTTGTTGTTTTATATTAAAAAAGTATCAGTAGTAGTAGTAGTTTTAAACTGGGTAAAAAGTATTTGCTTATTTAGCAGTAGGAATTGCTTCTTACAAGGAAAATTTAGTAAAGTTAAAAGAAAAAATTGATCAAACTGATCACTCGTACAGAAGTAGCTTTCAAAACAGCTTACCACCAGTTATAATGTTAGCACTACTTGCTTGAATTTTTCAATTAATACGGTTAGTGATAGTGTAGAGCGTGTGCTAATGATGAGTGAAATACTTTTTTCTTTTTCTTCTTCTTTTACCTTGTTATTTTATAATTAATTGATTACTAATGATCATTTGTTTGTTATTATAACGACACACCAGTTGACAATTTTTTTCCATCAGAGTCGGTTGGCAACAGCAAAAACCTGCTGCGTACTTTGTTGATGTTGTTGCTGTTGCTGAAGTTGTTGCTGATATAGCTAAATCAGTAACTTGTAGAGCANATAATTAATTGATTACTAATGATCATTTGTTTGTTATTATAACGACACACCAGTTGACAATTTTTTTCCATCAGAGTCGGTTGGCAACAGCAAAAATCTGCTGCGTACTTTGTTGATGCTGTTGCTGAAGTTGTTGCTGATATGGCTAATTCAGTAACTTTTAAAGCTGAAAAATACCAAAACGCTTAAAATATGACAAACAGCCAAAACTTTATATTTAAAAAGTTTAAAACGATCTACTAGGTAATACAAAAGAAGGGGAAAAAGATTTGAGATATTTACACTAGAGTAAAAAAGTATTATTGAATCATGTGTGGAATGTGTGTGTGTGTGGATTTAATGACAATTGAGTAAAATTAAATGTGTGAAAATAATTGCGTAAAATAATACAACTGAACAGATGTCGTCAGATTAGAGATGAGATCATTACTTTAATTCACCTCAATTTTCCGTTTCGGTTAGACAAAAATCTCCTCTGGACGGGCATTTTCAGGTGGTGGTTGCATCCACGGGAAAAGCATTGGCTGAAAATGAGGCATTCCAGGTCGCAGGTTGGGATTCAGTATCAATTCTTGATGCATGGGATGCAATGGCTGTGCAGGGGGCTGATTTTGCCAATTCTCATCATCCTCATCACCCTCATCACCCCTATCATTTCTTTCCAGTTCTTCTACTCCCAAATCCAGATCACCCTCACCAAAGCCTTCATCCTCTTCTTCCTCCTCACCCTCATCATCACCCACGTCATCAAGTCGCAGTGCAATGTGGTGCCGACCGGCGAGCTGCAGCTGTTGCTCAAACCGGGGAGCTCCTCCTGCTCCTCGTTGATAGGGTCGTCCTCCTTCTAAATCATCTTCCTCATCCTCATTCTCAAAGTCGCCCAGCTGCCCGTACCACCGGCGGAAGAGGAGGATGAAGAGGCAGAGAATGGCGTAGACGGTGAAGATGACGTCGATGAGTAGCAGCAGAAAGAGGAACTCCTTTCCGGTGGTACCATTTTCAAAAGTAGAACTTTGAGTTGAAGGCTTTGAAGGCGCCTTTTTGAGGCGCATGCCAAAAAGCTGGTGGACGACGTTTCGATCATCTGTTGGAAAATTTAGAAACATTGATCACTATTTTAAAAGTGTTTAAATTGAAAGTTTGTATTGAACTTACAAAACACTGTTATTGGTTTTGAACTTAAAGTTGATGAGGATGATGAATTTTTCTTGACCAACCAGAGATCTTGATTTTCGTTTTTCAGCTGGGGACCAAATCCTACAGTTGAGTTGTCGGCATCTTTTTCGGTGTTTTGGCAAATTCCTAAATATTTCAAAATCAAAAGATTTTACCTTTTTAAAATTAATACAAAAAAATTTACCGTGATTAAACCCGTATAGAAAACTTTCCTCGCTGCTGTTGCAGCGCACTAAAGTTCCAATGGGTGAAATTGGCACTACATTAATGAAATAAATACATTTTTATTATTTGCTATCTCAAACTGAAAAAACTCAAAAGTAAAAATGCAAAGTAGTTAACCTTTGAACGCATTTGAATTAAAAAGGGGCAGAAAAAAGCTGTAATACAGCAGAATTGACGTTGTCACCACAGTGATTGAGGAGCAGAAAAGAAACGTCCAACACCACAGTTTTTTAGACATTTTGATGTGATGAAATTAAAGTTAGGGCTCAAAGTTAAATTTAAATCACCAGACAAATTGCGTTTTAAAATTGGACTCAAAATTTTAAAAGCTTTACAGCAATTATGAGCATATGAACGAGATGATAAAACAGACAATAGATATTCAAATTGAAAAAAACCAGTGCAAAGTTTCAAGTGTGCCTCAAGATATTAAAAGCCAAGTTTGGTTGTTGAATTCATCAGTCCGGCTCAGTCGGCTGCTGCACTTGAAATGACTCGGCTTTTGACTCGGCCACATTCTGCCTGGTTTTATTCTGTCACCGACTCCAATTATGGGTGGAAAAAAATGGTCTTTCCTGACTCATCAAAAGTCTGCACAGCAACAGACAAGACAAAACAAAAAACCAGGTTCAAACTTGGGAAAAAAGTGATAGGCCGTGCATAGTCACACATACACACACACAAAATGGCCGTGATGGATGTGAAAGCCGATCAAGTGAATAAATGGTCTGGGCCTGTCTAGTGTTTTGAATGAACAAAAAGAAAAGGAGAAAAACAGTGAACAGCCGATCACTAATCACACACACACACACACACACTGGTCTCGTGAGCTCCTTCCAAAAAAACTGAGATTCCTTTTTCCTGCTCTGGTTCATGCAACGCAAATTGCAGAACAGGCTTTTCCAAACTTTTAGAGCTGTTGCTGCTGCTGTTCCAGGAACGGCTGCTGCTGCAGCTGTTGTAGAGCTGGCCAAACGAGACTGTAGGCTAAAATGCTGGTGACAGCAACGCAAATCTTCTTCACTCACTTTTCTTCTTTTTATCTCTCTCTCTCTCTCTCTCTCTACTGTCAACTCCCAGGTGGCCGATTTCGGTCATCCCAAATTCAACACCGTACTCAAAATATTTTATTTTAGCCACGCACACAACAGCTTTAATAAGCTGATTGACTAGCTGACTGACCCTTCCCCATTGTGCCAACCAGATTTGTTGATCAAATCGGGCTTCATTTTTAGTGTGCTGGTGTCTGTGTGTGTGTGCCTGTTTTGGGGAATAATGTTTTAGAAATTCCGGGAATTATTATCCTTTTTATAATTTTATATTAAACTAATTAATATTTGTACTGTTCTTTTCCTGCAGGAGATGTTTTTTATTTGTGTTTTGCTATAAGCTGCGTATTAAATAGAAATATTGCTTTTTGTGTTCACTGGCACTGTCAATGGACTGCTTTTGCTTAGCGCACTACAAAACAAGAAAATGAATGACTGAATTTAAATTTTTTAAATATTTTTGCATTTTTTGACGACATCATTAGTTTTGGTGACAGCAAAATCAGCTGTTGTTTGCATTTTGATTTATGTTTAAATTTAAAACGCGTTTTCAAACGCTTGTAAAAAATAAAAATCAATTAGCATTAAGCTTATTTACTACTTCTGAGAATTTAAGTTTGAGTATTTTAAGACTGCACACAGCCTTTATGTGAAAAGATTAACTGACAGAGTTTTCCAATGGCGTGAAAAGCTTTTTTTATTACCATTACTACTCAATCTAAAAATATTTAAATTTATTTTGATTGTCAGTTTTTTACTACTGGCCAGCAAGTGATAAATCTTATGTTAGTTAACACATCAAAATTAA